TGAGTTGACTACTTGGCCAATATACCTTAAGGTTCCATATTTCCATAACATTGATTGAGGAGCTGTACTACTTCTGGACTAGTAGCTTACTTCTCGCTATCATTCAACGCTTTGTCGGGTGGGATAGAGCCATCGTCGCCAAACATATTCTTCAAAGTGTCAAGTGAGGTATTTCCTTGTTGGATAGAGTTGAATGAGTCAGCGGCGCCGATGAGAATCTCTGGCACGCATCGTCCAAGAACTGAAGCGACAAGCCATCCGTTCTTGTGATCGCTTAGCAGTCACATAGATTTCATAACGAATCATCACATTCTATGACGTAATAAATGCAGTGAGACAGGGGCCTTAATGGAATTAAATGGGATGGATTCAGTCAGGAAAAATATGAATAAAAAATTTGAAATAGGTTTATCACTGCGTGATTTGCGGATACATTATGTGATAGACTATCAGCTTTGCTGATAGAAGTCTTGACCTTAATCTAATAATGTAGGCATTCCTACTCAGTAATTCGTACTTACCTGGAGCGGACTTCACTGTATAGGATGCACATTTCTGCTGTTGTACATAAGCTCGTAAGATCAAAAATGATGTTATCGTGCTTATGTTAACCGTATCAAGACAATATACCGATGACGCAACCTAAGTTAACATTATAAAATGTGAGCGGAAGACGGTGCATTTGTTAAATTACCGTTTGACGGAATTCCTCACTGGTGATGGTGGGATTTTGAAGTTGGAGATAGGAGAAGTACTTAGAGGGACAGGCTGCTACACACATCTTAAAATAAATCCATAAAAACATTCTTGTTCAAGTTTTCATCAAACGTACTTGAGGTGTTTGACAACCTCCCAGAGCTGTAGTATATGATATGCATTTGGTAATGTCAAAGTAGTACAAGTATGGCCGATTCCTGTAATCACGAAAAAACTCAAATAGTTATCCACATTTAAAAGCTATTTTTTCATTACTCTATTAAAAACCTAGGGTAAGCTTACGTGAGATTATAAGATATGCCCCGAGAACCTCCACAA